TGTAGAAGCCATTTTCCGCTTGTATTATGACAATCCGCTTCTCTCAGGAATTTTTAACAATTACTTGTGTTTTACCACACAATAGTCAACCACCACCTCAGATCAAAAATTTTACCACATCCAATCTGAATAAGGGCTCTGATACCAATTGTTGGGGCGGAGTCACGCCCACCGTCGCGGAAGCGATATCACCTGAGAGAGAGCCATGGCTTCTGTTGTCACAAAAGCACAAGTCAACCTCTATATTCTTGTTTCTCAAAGGAAACGAGAATAGATAGTGAAATTCTTATTTCTAAAGGAAACAAGAATCTAAAGTGATATATTTCATCAAAGTGAAATATACACTCTTCCTCTCATCAGTTCAAGGACTGAAATATTGACGGAACCTATAAGCTATGGCAACTCACAGATAAGACAAATACAAACACGAGATTTACGTGGTTCGGCTAACTAGCCTACGTCCACGGGAGGGGGTTTCACTATGAGGAGAATACCAAACTTTACAAGTTCTCTCTCACTCACTCTTTCTTTTCTCTCAAAGAAAACTCACACAACCCAATTGTTTTTCCCCACAACCTCTCCTCCACCCCTTCTCTATTTATAGAAGAGCAATGGGGGGCAAGGCTGAAATCTTGAGCAGGCAGAGAACGCGGGAAAGAAGCCGCGCGCGGGAAGAAGAGAAATCGGCGGGCGGCGCAGGATCTCCGAAAAAATCCGAAGATGGGTGCGCGGGATCTCCAAAATCCGGAGATGGGACACACCTTTGTGGGTGTGTCCCTCGAGCCCACGAACTTCGTGGGCTGGAGAGGGAAAGGACACACCCACGTGGGTGTGTCCCCCCAGCAAACACACCAGAGCTCCGGCAAACGCCCCCCTCATCTGCTGCCACCACTCCCTCAGAAGGGTCGAAGAAATCCCACCCGAAATCCCTCAAATCGTACCTACATCTCATATTCTCCAGCTCTTTTCCATTTCCATCCACGTTACGTCCATCTGAAACTGAAAGAACCACTTACAGCGTTACATTGGCAGGTGGCGGAATCACATGCGTATTGTGATCTGTTAATCAAAATAACACAATTGATCATTGTTAGAATTAATATAAAACTATAATCATTGATCCTCACCATAACTTCAGAGTTTTGGTGTAATGGTTAGAGGAACTAAATTTAAGATGGTATCAGAACAACCCAGGTTCAAATCCTACCGGTCACGAATTAAATGCGGATTTTCTAAAAATTGACACTGCTACGTGAGTTCAGGTTTCGACCCATAAAAAAGGGCGCTCGACCTGCGGGGGCATGTTAGAATTAATATAAAACTATAATCCTTGATCCTCACCATAACTTCGGAGTTTTGGTGTAATGGTTAGATGAACTAAATTTAAGAATCATGGTGCATGATCTAATAAAATAATTCTAGAGATACTGCATTCAATATATAAATGGTATCGAAAGACACGTGAAAGTGTGCAACAGTAAGGTTTTCATTAAGGGGCTGTTTGGTTCGTTTCCTTGATATAAAGAAATGCAATTCCATGTAAAGAAACACAAGTTTTGAATTTTCTAAACTTTTCCAAGAAATAGATTGTTTTGCTTTGGTTCGCACATAAAAAATGGTGGGAAACCAATGTATTTATTTTTCTTGTGTTTGGTTCGCATAGAAAAAAAAAGGAAAACTTTTGTAAACAAAGCAGAGAAGGAAAAAAAAATCTGACGTGGCAGAGTTTTCATCAATTTCACTTGGTTGAGGAAGGAAATCGGAGAGGGAAAAAAATCTTAGTTGGCGGCGATTTCAGCAGAGTTTTCCCTCTTCCATTCGAGCGAACCAAAGCGGCACAAAGAAATGGACGGAAACAAAAAAGCTGACGTGAAGGATTAAAAATCTGACGTGGAGGGGTTTTCTGAGTTTTCCACCCCTTATAATAGCGAACCAAACAGCCCCTAAATCTGACGTGGAGGGGTTTTCTGAGTTTTCCACCCCTTATAATAGCGAACCAAACAGCCCCTAATATTCAAGAAGGTTACGTAAATGTGAGCTACCTCTATCAGTAACTGTATAGGTTTCGATACTGGGCCTGCTGGCGGATTGGACCAGGAGAGAGGGCTGAGGAGGAGAGGAGTGGTGGAGGACGAAGGAGTTGATTGCCACAGCGACGTAGCGGAGGGAGAAGAGGTAGTGGCGGTGGGCGAA